GTTTTAACATTAGTAACATCAGTAGCCACTAAATTTCAATGACTTCCCTTTGAAATACTTCATTAATATTTAAGGGGAAAAAAATACCAATTAAAGACATACAGCTTAGCATTTTCACATAAAAATCTTGACATCAAAAGAATTTTCAGATTGCTCTTCAGCTTTAATAAAAGTATATGTTGATTTTATCATTTTAAAATATAAAGTTTAAATCTCTTACTTGTATGCAAATCGAAGATTGGGAAATCTGGCTAGGAGTGCTTCGTATGTTTCCTTCAGTCTACTGATATTGCAAGACAGCTCCCTGTGCTTTTCCAGAACTCTTTCCTCTTTATTTTCTGAGGGGTAAGTCATAATTGAAGCCAAGATTTAAAAACTTTACTGTTTAAGGAAACCACAACTATAACCCCTATTTCCAAAGCATTCCAGGGAGCAAAACATAAATTTCTGATATTAAAGAAAAAGGCATGGTTACCACCAAATTTCTATCAAGTGTCAAATGGATATATTTCCAAGATCAAATCATAGTTTTTATTCCCAGAAACATGTGAACTGTATGCCTGCCAATGTGGAAATACATGATATACAGTCATTTTAAAGCATTTAAGTTACCAAAGCAAGAAATTCTCAAATATTTAGAGGGCTATTTTATGTATTTTTATGAAGTACTTATGAACATTTCTTAAACTAATGTCCACTGACAGGTTTAAAAACAAAAACAAAAAAAACTCCGCTTCACTATCTCCTCATGAGTTGAATTGTCTTTAAAGCCAAACCTTCATAATTTAGCTTCTTCATTTCAGTTTCAAGTTTTTCTTGAGCTCTTTTTACAGCTTCTAAAGCTTCTTGATCTTTCTTGTAACCACTGTCCATCTTCTTAACTTCTGCTTGCTTAGTCTTTAATTCTTGTTGGGCATGTTTCAACTTCATTTGAGCCTGTGATGAAAAGATGTAACAAACTCTATGAGGCAGATACTGCTAATAATTAAATGGATAGAGATTCAAAATGGTTTAATTAAATTAGTTCAAAATTGAAAATATAACTGAGTAGTCTCCTGGATTAATATTCAAAAGATCAATCACAATATTCAAAAGATCAAACACTTTCCTGTATTTTTGTCTTTAAAATACTTATAAACAAATTTATGATTAATATTAATCATTAAATAAGCATGAAAATCTGGTTTTATAAGTAACAAAAATTAAAAGTATTTATAAAATATCAGCCATGTTTTTTTCTAGCTCTTTGCGTTTACTTTCCTCACTTGCTAGATTTTTCTTCTTGAGATCAAATGCACTTTGAGATTATGAAAATTCTATGAAAGAATAGTTGGACATAGGTTTTATTTTGTTAAAAACACAACAGACAGTTGTATACCACATTTGCTCTCCTCCTTTCCACCTAGGTGCTCATAATTATATGTGTGTATCTGTGTAAGTATTATCTGTTACTAGCACAAATGCTATACTGACTGATGAGAACTAAAACAGGTGTATCTGTGTAAGTAGTATCTGTTACTAGCACAAATGCTATACTGACTGATGAGAACTAAAACAGAAAAGTAAGCTGACAGAAATGTAAACATACAAATCTAGATTTAAATGCTACAACTTCTGAAACTTATGATTCTGAATTCATACTGAACACTGGTCCTTAAAACCAAATTTGTATCCTAAGGGTATCTCCTCCCTACAACTAAACAATGACAATGTTTTTTTTCCCTAACACCCTCTATAATAAATTAACAGAAAAAGTAATTTAAAACTTTTATACTACAGATTTCTTACAAACTTACCTATCAGCTCTGAATAAAAAGATGAAAATACAGAATTGAAAAAACAGAGTAGTATCAATAAGCAAGTTTCCATATAAATATTTTTAAAGGAATACATACATGCATACTCCAAACGTTGCTACAAATGAGAAAAGCATTTACTATACTTAGACACTAAATTAAGGTAATCTATGTTTTATAGCATCCTGACAATCTAACAAATTCCCTGATATTCAACTATTTTCAACATTTTGTAACACTCCAAAGCATGAGAAAAGCAGCTTTTTAAAAACAAGAGTTTGCACACGGTGCTTAATGTCCCAGTTTACCTGCTTGGCCTCTGTCTGGGCCTTACTTATATCGTTTTTACAGGCTATCATTTGACCAGCGAGAGTTGCTTCTGCTCCGTCCTCACTGCTGGACAGGCCAGCGGAGACGGCATTGAAGTGCTGCTGTGCCGCGGCCAGGGCTTCAGCATCTTTCCTACTTGCTTCTTGAAGGCCATGCAGCCCATCTGTTATCTTTTTAACTTCCTTTTCCTTTGCTGCTAATGTCTTAGCATCCTTCAGAAAAATTTCAACATGAAAATACATTTTAGAAAAAAATTCAATTAACCGTGTTATTAACTTTCATAACAATTTGAGGGGCGTACAATACGAAAATACAGTAAGGAAAATAAAAGTAATTTAAACATCGTAACTTTAAATACTGAATTCTCACTCTGTGACTCACTGTTTCAGGTATGTGATGTCTAATACAATACCTGAAAAACTTTTTTTCCTATGTGATAGTAAAACCCAAGAGAAAATGAGGTAAAAAGCTATTACATATTTACACAAATCATTTGAGGAGGCTAAAAATCAGTTCTTAAGTCTTTAAAACTGAAATGCCAGCCATCCTACAACCAAATTTAAAAGAAGAAATTTTAGGATTAAGGGCATGTTTATGAAAATATTTTATAAGGCAATAAGGGGTATAACAAGAACTGTAGAAAAAATATTGCTAATATTAACATCTTTTAAGTAATATTAATCAGATATATGACTTGGTGTTAACCCTGAAAATATGGGGAGGGGCTCTCTGATTTACATAAATATGGTCACTTGGCTAACTTGTGAGAGTCATCTAATATTTACTAAGTGCTTACTGTATACTGGACACTGTTCTAAGACATTAAAGACACAGACTAAAAACCCCCAAGCTTAGGGAGCCTGTATTCTGGGATGGAAGACCTGGTAAATACAAAAATAAAGCAAGGTCAGGGGACAAAGTAATTGGAGCTGCTATTTTCAGAATAAAAAAAAAAAAAAACCAGTATGAAATGACATTTGAGCAGAGGTCTGAACACACAGTGAGCATATAAATAGATGCCATTGTACTTGATAAGCCACAGGGCTTTGAGAAACTGTGGGTAAAGCCAAGCAGGAGAATGTAAAAGGGGCCAGAAGCTAGTCTGAAGCACACAGAAAGCCACCGAAAGAGTTCTGATTTAATCAGGCATGACTGAAATGTCTGAAGGATATGCACAGGACTGATGTGATTCAACTTAACATTCTAATTTTGTAAAGATCAAACTCTAGAGCAGCAAGAGCAGAGCAACTGATCACGTCAGTATTGCAGTAGCCCTAACTGGAGGTAATAGCAACAATGACTGGCAGTGATAGGATGTGACAGAAAAATGGCTTTTTAAATTTTATTTTATAAGTCAAAAGAACTTATTCTTGGATTTGATAATTTGAAAGAAAATGGGGAATCCCAAACAACTCTGGGACTTCTGGCCTAAGTAGCTGGGTGAAGGTAGTGGCACTAAATGACACTGAAAAATTCAGGATAGGTAGAGAAGTTACGAATTCCACTGTGACTATAGTTTTACACTTTATTAATCACACAGGCAAAAATATTAATTAGCTGGAAAAATGAATATAGAATTTGAATGTGTGCATGTGTATTGGTTCTGTTTCTTTAAAGAACCCTAATAGAGCTTCTATGATTAATTACCACCACCTGTTGAATGATTTCAATAGATACGCTGTAACCAGCTCACAGTAAATGTGCTTCCAAAACTGTGGATCCAATTCCATTTACTGAGGCAGAAGGAAAAAAAAAATGTACAAATGGGAGAGTTTAGGACAGGATCACATTTTGGGATAAGTTATATAACTGCCTACAATCTGAGCATTTGAGAGATGGAGGCAAGAGGATGAGATGTTCAAGGTCACGCTTGGCTACATACTCACAAACCACTCTGTTACAATTTATCAGCCTAGTCTGGATAGTAAAAAATGGCCTTTGGGGCATGGAGACTAGGTTACCACAACAGGCTGAATTGAATGCCAACAGCACTTAGCAAAAATATTAAGGAAACACCCTAGATACAGTGTAAATAAAATTGTTTGCAATGGTGGAACCAATGAATAAAACCAAAGTCCAACAGCTAGTAAGCTGCTTCAATGGCATGTATTTATCCCAAATGGATGTTCTCCTGCTAAAGCTGTCAATTTTCATCAGAGCTCTTTGAAGCATCAGATATCGGAAGTCATTCAAAAAGCCAAGGCCCAAGCACTCCTTTTAAACCCCAAGAGCCTGGTAAGCCTAATGGAGTTATATGTATCTTCACCTCTGCAAATGCTGGTTGGAATCTGCACAAACAGTGGGATAGGTAATGCCAAGTCTGGGAAGCTGACGGACAGTAGAATCCTGTATGGTTGGGTAGGCTAGGGGTGTCCCTAAGTATCACCTGTAGGAACGCGATGCACCACTGGGTCAGCAGCTTAAAGCTGCATGCTAGGCTCACAAGGGAGCTACTAGGAGGTGTAAAGGACTGTGGACTTAAAACTACTGGAAGATCATACAAAGGACTCACTGCTTATAACAGAATGGTAATGGAAACTGGCACCTGACCATGGCAGATAACTGCTTTCACCATTATCACTGCTTTGGCAACCTAGTGGATCTCTCAAAAATGACATGTCAGAATACAGAAGTGATGTAAACTTTCTGTTTGTCCAACTGGAATTCAGCTCTTGCTGAAGCCCAGGCAGAGGTGACCTAGAAACAAGTACACCAACTTGCTTTTTGACCTCCTTGGTAAATGCATTTGGATCGCTAGGATCTGGGCAAGCCAGTGCTCTAGGCAGGCATGATCATCCCACATCCTGCATCCAGTAGTGGGTATCCTGGGCCTAGTGAGATATATTCTGGCTGTAGCCCAACAATGCTGCACTGTGTCAAACAAAGTGTTACACCAATCTAGAGAGAAACCTCCTCCAGACTTAAGGTTGGCCCTAGGCAAATGAACTATATTAGCTTTGCTAAAAGGGCATCTGGGTCAGAGGACAGATTGCAGGAGTGAATTTTCCCCTTTCTGGCTCTTAGTCCCAAGGAATGGCTGTAGAATGCAATGCTGGTAATGCAATGTTCTAAGTTATGAAGAGACTGGCTGTAGCAGCCAGGGCTTTATTCCAGTCTTGCCCTAGAAACTGACAGTCTTAAAGTATTTAGTCTAGTGCCTTATATAACCTTAGGGTATAAAACCCAGGACAGGCTGCTGCTGGCTATGGTTGAAATGCAGATGAGATTCTACCAGCCTTGGGGAAACTTCTAAACTTGAAATCAGCTCACAATAAATTCTAGACACCTGCTGCCTTTTAGTAACTATAAATAAAAAATCTGATTCACAAAATATTTTATACATACATATTTTGCCTTATTAGATTTGTTTCCTAAAAAGTTAATAACCAGACAACGTGCACAGTAAAAGTGCTTCGCAGAGTTCGTGGAAAGAGTTAAGCTTAATAGTTAAGAGTTAAGCTGGGTGTGGTAGCACAGGCCTTTATTCCAAATACTTGGGAGGCAGATCTCTGAGATTGAGGCCAGGTTGGTCTACTACAGCATTACTAGGCCAATATAATAGTTATACCTGAAATAAATAGCCTGAGTCTTAACTTTAGTTTGTAAGAGTAGACCTGAACTTGGAGGGCATCCATTCTTCCAAATGTCTCCTGAAACTGTGTTGCTTAAACCAGGCCTCACCCATATTTTTATTCAAAAAACTTTTCTCCAGCTTCAATTGAGGAACTACGAGCTTGGGCCCACATTCATCTTACTAGACAATCTTGTCCTTTCACCCCTCAGCCTAAAATATTTCAAGCACACAACATACTGCATTTAGCCTACTTTGATTTGATCATTCTCAACAACACTCACATTCATTTACTATCTTGGGTAGAAAGCAAATTGAGGCTCCTGGGGGATCAAGCTCAGGTTCCCAGGTTGTAAGAGCACATGGCTCAGTGAGTTATTTACTTGTATTATCTGAATTCTTAAAGTATTTTATCAGTGCCCTCTTTGATTTTATTAAACATTCTTACGTGTTTTTCAGTTCACTATTTCATTCAATTCACATTCACTGGAGTCTACTGTACAGAATAGGAGGGGAATTTGATAGAAATATTTTTTAAAACACCAAACTGAAATTTTAGAAACCTCTACCACCCAAGGCCTAGGGGGCCACTGTGAAAAAGGGGCAGAAAGACCTAAGCGTCAAAGTCACTGATAACCATAAGGAAACAGTCTTCCAAAGAGCTGGGAAATAACTCAATGTGATCTCATAGCAATGGTGACAGCATGCACGAGTACAATGTAAGCTCAAGCCAGATAAAATCCCAGCACAGATATGGGGAACTGGGTAAGAAACCCCAGCCCCACCTGAGGAACTACTGGAAACCAATGGCTGCTGGGGAGAGTTGGTCTCTTAAGGGTATGACTCTTGATACAGAGGACAGACCCACACTGAAGGGCTTTTGGGGCCACATATTTGACTCTTATAGGTCTTGCAGTAGAAAGGGGGTGCAGACTGGGGATGTAAATATGATCAAAATATATTATTTGAAAAGTCCTCCAAATTAAACGGAGTTGAAGAACAAAACAAAAAACAACAACAAAAGAGTTAAGAGAAAGCATAAACATGTAGACAGTATTTAGAAAACATTTAGACAGTATTCAGAGCTGCAGAGTGAAGCAAGTGTAAACAGAAAATATTTGTGCAATCACCTGGGGCATACTAACATTTCCAGATCTAGAATAAAGAAGACAGAAAAAGAAATAATCAGTAACTCTGTGCTGAAGCTAAAGGGCACAGAAAGATTAAGGAAAATATGGGTCCAAACCAAGGCAGGTCCACACATTTAAAGCTCCACCTCAAGATGAAGAGCCTTAGGCAATCAATGCATGCTGAGGGGGATGGGGGGAGGGGGAGGGGGAGTCAGTTTCTCCAGGGACTAGCTTCCTGAGAGGTAATCTTAAGTGGGCAACCCTAAACATGTATATACATGAGCACCACTAAGGGAACTCAGTGTATTTTATATGTGCATATATGTGCATGTGTGTGTACGTATGTAACAATAGTAATCAAAGAGGAGGATAAGGGACAAGAAATTGTGAAAGGGGGTATTGGAGAACTGCAGGGGGACTGGGTGGGGAATAAAAATACAATACTCATATATGAAACTCTCAAAAAATAAATATAGGAATAAAAAAAATTCAAAGAAAGGAAGAACTGATTTTAGCAGTTGGGTGCCACAAACCAAAGAACCATGTCACATTTATACTGCTTTGACATCCTGTCCACATTTTTATCTCTATGTTTATATTGATTTAATTGTATTTCTGTACAGCAGCATCTGATAGGATAGTATGAAAAAATATTGTATTTTGTCAATTTTTAAAAATAATGAACATGCCTATTTTCACTCAAAGGAATCACCTTTAAAACTTCCATGTGCTCCATTACCTACTGAGATCATTTATTCAACTTCTTGTTACTATGAGTGAGCCACTGTTTACCATGCCTTGCAAAGGCTGTTTCCTCTAGTTTTACACTAGTTTCTATCTTATTTTTACCTTCTGAGGGGCCTTATTTTCACAATTCCATGTGTCTTCAAATTATAGATATTCCTTTCCCACTGTTCTTTTTTTTAAAAAAGACAGTCTTATACTGAAGCACAGGCTGGTCTAAAATCTATACCTTGGCCTCCTGAATGTGGGATTCAAGGGGCCAGCCTCCTACCTGACCCTACTGAAGTTTTACCACTAGAGTATACCTTTAGTATACCAAAATCAAGCCCCCACCCCCATTCTTCTATCATTTCCCAGTTAGCACTTCTTTTCTTTGCAATGAAATGTCTCTTATGTATGAGGGCCTGAATTCAATCCCTAGCACCACATAAACTAGGCATCATGGTATACTCTTATAAGCTTAGCACTTGGGAGGTGTAATGAGAAAGATCAGAAGTTCAAGGTCATCCTCAGCTATTTAAGTTTGAGACTAGTCAGCAGTAGGACCTCATCTCAAAAAGAAAAGGAACAGTCATGTTTTCCTGTCATTCTTTAATTATTATGCGATCACAGTCTAATCAGGACCTCATCTGGCCTTCAGGACAACTTACTGGCATGATTTCCTTCCCTCATAGCTTCAATGCCCTTGTTCATTCTTTCTTATGGCCTTCACCTTCTACTGGGTAAATTAAATTTCAGGCCTTCTCACACACACTCATACCATTGAAGATTCCATTCCAACCTCATGAATCTTACCACCTGTACAAAAATAATCCCCCTTCATCTTGGATCTCAAATTCACATCCTGGGCTGTCGCCAATGACAGCTCAATACTTTTAATAGCTACCCAAGCTTGAGTTCTCAAATTATTCACTTCTTCCCCTTAACTCCCAATCTTCTCCCCACTTTACTTTTACCCCATCAGTTACCAGTGTCCACCATGCTATACATTTTACTTACTACTTATTTTATCTTTTCTCCCACTGGACCCAGAAGGCAGGAATTTTCTCATTTTTCTTTTTCCCCACTATTGTATTCCCAGTCCAATTATATTTAACCCTTAGTGGACACCAAATAGGAACAGAATGGACAAATAAACGCGCATTACCGGAAATTGACCTTATTTGCTTACCTCAACCATGTTTTTTTCTAGCTCTTTGCGTTTGCTTTCCTCACTTGCTAGATTTTTCTTCTTGAGATCAAATGCACTTTGAGATTTAGTGTTAACTCGCTGAGCCTCTGCAAGAGCATCTTCTAAAGACCGAAGGACTCCTCCTATTTCCTACAATCAATGTTCACAACTCACATCACCTCGTTTGTATGTGTTACCAATTTCTTTTTTGATTTTTATGAAACATTACGTTTTACAAGTTATATCATTACTTTCAGATTAACAAATCAAAATGAAAAACATTGTGCAGTGAATCCTAAAATTGTAGTTTTTTTTTCACACAGTACACTACTGAACTTATATGTTCCAACCTTATCTCTTCTTTTTTCCAACTCTTCTATTTCACGATTAAGTGCCTTTATTTTTTTATCATTCTCTGACAATTCTTCTTGAAGTTTTAATATTTTATCCTGCATTTCTTTTAACTCTTCAGCTGAGCGTTCTTTTGTATCTTCAGCCAGCAGGAACTGATAAGCAATATATAAACGGCTCAGGTGTTCTATTTCTCGCATTACTTTTTGGTACTCCAAATAAGAGGATCTTTCCTGAAAGAGAAGTCATAAAGAAGAGTAATTCAAACTTCATACTTTTTAAACAAACTTGGAAATAACCTTACTATAGCAACATTTACCAATTTTTTTTATAGGATCTAATAAATTTAGATCAGAAGGCAGAAGCAGGTGGACATCTGCTGAGTTCAAGGCCAACACAGCAAATTCTAGGCCACCCTGGAAGAACTACATAGTGAGTCCAAGTCTCAAAAAAAACAAACAAAACAACCCCCACCCCACCCCTCAAAAAATCATTACAACTTAGCACACAGGAAGTATACATCATCTGCAAGTAGAAATTGTGGAGTACTAATTTGAACTTATTTCATCTCAGAGAAAAATTCCCAGCAAATGGTACACACTTCATAAACACTGATATGCCTTCAGATCTGTCACCAATTTTGAGAACTATCCTAACTGGCTGTTACCACACATATAATATATACCTCTTTTAATTTTTGAATGGTTGGAGTAATCTCTTCTTCAAGTATCTGGAAAATGAAGGAAAACCAGTATTTTTAATTCATCAAGTACCAGTAAAAAACTCTTTTAAGTGTTTTGGGTTTTTAGAGACAGTAGCACGAAAGACTATGGAAAACAGAACCTGAGAAAAAGAAAATCTTCCCCTTGTAAAGCAGAGACTCCCAATGCCAAGCTCTTCTCCACACTCTTCTGTGTAAAATGAATTACCGTCTTAATTTCTTTCAGCTTGGCTTCCTTTTTCTCTATCGTTTTCTGGGCGGCTATTTTTTTGTACTCATACATTCTGGTTCCAGCTGCTTCTTCTATCATGGATAAAATCTGGAACAACAATTATATTGTCTTAATCCAAAACAACGTGTCTACTGGAATTGACATTAACTGCATCGATAGCCTGACCACCCCTCTAGAATCTTACTAAAGTAGTACACACTGGACTAGAAACATTAAGTACACAAAGTGTATGTTATTACCATAACCCTAACATTCCAGGAATATTCTGGTTTCACTCCTGTATCAAAATCAAATCTTCTGCTACACTAATTTTGCAACATTTATCTCTTCTAAAATTGAAGGTAGTGATTCCTCTTTTCTTTCAAATAAAAGTTTAAAAAGAATAAAGTAAAGGTAGCTCCATTCAGCTTGCAGTTTGTTACATTTCTACTTAAAACTGAAGCCCAGACTTCATCACTGTCTGACAAGGCTGAAGCAGGTCATAATCTCTTCCTAACTGTGGCACACACACTAATAACTTAATGTTCTGTTTCTATTTCTCCATTCAGAGTAAGGGTTGTGTCTTATGGCATCACTAAGAATTAAACAGACAATGCAAGTGAAAAGCATTCTGAGAAGGGAAGTATGAACAAAGACCGTTTTATGTAAGAACTACTTTGCCAGCATCTTTTTCCATTGCTTCTATTCACCTTCAGTCTCCATCTCAAGATTATTTCTTTTGTGGAACATGCTATGATTTCCACATGTCTGGTAGGTTTTAAATTAGAAAATTTCCTCTACTATATTATCTAAATAAGATAAACTTTAACTTATTCAAATAGAGTAGTATGACCAATTATCAGTCTTTTTAGCTCTTCTCACTAGAAAAATATCTAAAGAGTAAAAATTCATTTTGTCACATCAATTACTTTCAGAGCTGTTATAGGAGCAGCATATTCTATGAAATGACCAAACTTCACACAGATCTTCTCTTAGGCTTTTCCACAGGGTAAGTCCTGACATGTTATCATTTGAGCTAGACTGCTTTACACAAAATGTTCTAACACTGGACAGTGTTAAATGTAAAGCCACTTTGTTAATCATTCTTAGAAAATGTTACCAAGAACGGTAATGCAAGAACCTACTTTTAGAACCAGACTGCCCAATAATTTAGAAGAATGTGCATAACTGCCATTTTTACTGCTCATAAATAGTAGTCTTACCTCTGGAGGTTTCATATTTAACACTTTTGTAATTCGGCCCTGAAAATAAAACAGTGACAATGTGATCTAAATAGGCCATTCACTCTCCATTCATATAGAAGCTGCTGTATCTCACTGGTGATACAAATTAAATTATTAAATGATACAAATGACAGCAGTACAAATGAAACAAAGTTAACTTGGGATATTTCTGAAACAGTGATAAAAATGTAGAAGTATGGGATTTTAGTTAGATATGTATGTATATAAATTTTAGGCTTATTAAGCATTTCTTGGTATTTTTGAAAACAATCCAATATACCTTCACAAAACCAATGACGTTTCCAGGCCTTACATAGAACATTTGATTTCAATGCCAGAAAACCATCAATTTTATTCATTTCCAAAACTAAAACCAAAACCTTCACATCTATGTAAGTCATGATCCAGAGTCACCTGAAACTATCAGTTCTGAAACTAGAATACAGTCAATATATTTTTATTCTGGTTATAATTTGAATGGGTCCCTCATAGTTCATGTGCCAGAGACTTAATCCCCAGTGCATCAGTATTGGAACACGGGACCTAATAATGTGACTAGTGAAGAGACTGATGGTACTGAGAGTGGGTTGTTCCTGAACAGGTACACCGCATTGCTTAGAAAGGACTCAGCCTATGGTATTTTCTGATAGCAATATAAAATGGACCAAGACATGGCCCATCAAGATCTTGACACTGACTTTGCTGTCTCTCAAAGGATGGTTAGATGTCAGTCTGGTAAAACAATGCTAGAAGAAGGGAACATCAGCCTTTACTTTTTATTCACTTAAGTATCATTCAGTTTATGCTTGAAATATTAAAATACTTTAAAAATAATTATTTAAAAATAATATGCTCTGATGCTATGGTACAGATACCAAGCACTTCTCCAAAAGGCTCAGGAGTTGAAGGCTAAGTCCCCAATGAAATGTTCAGAGGTGGGGCTTCAGGGACATACTGTATCATGAGGACACTAACCAAATCAATGGACCAATCCATTGATGCATTCACGAGTGGACTGTTGGAAGGTGGATGAAACTATGGGAGGTGGAGTTTCACTGGAGAAACTGGGTTGCTGGGGCATGCCTTGAATGGCTATCTTGTCCCTGGCCACATCCTCTGTGGCTCTCTGCTTCCTGGACTCCATGAGGTAAGTAGCTTTCCTCTGCTATGTGGTTCCACTATTTCTTAGCCTCACCTCAGGCCTACAGCAGTGTGGCTGGCCAACTATAGACTGAAACCTTGGAAACCAGGAGGCAACATAAATCTTCCCTCCTCCATGTTACTTTCTTTGGATGTTTTGTTAGCTACAAAAACCTGACACATGAAAATTTATTTTATATTTTAGCACATAGTACCTTCATAGCTATAAAATTAACTACAACAAAATACAATATAACGTTAAATACAAATTCAGAAAATGGAAAGAAAAAATGGACACAAAATAGCTCCACAATTGTCCTAAATAATACTGTCAAAATTATTATGAATGTCATAAAGATCAGACAAGATACCTGCATGATGAGAAAGTGAGGGTTGTTAACATTCAGGCCAATAGAACAAAAGAGATCCTGGACTCTGGTGTTGTTAGCGTTGACGCCATTGATCAAATACTTATTTCTGCCACCAATAACCACCTAAAATGGAAGCATTTAACAAATTTTAAAAGTATATGACTACCTTGCACTAAAATGATAAATTATAGATTATTACCTTGCATCATTTCTATTCAATCAACAGTTAACAAATCTAGTCCCCAATAAGTAGTGGAAGAAAGGCGTCAACAACAAAAGGAGTAGTAATTTGGGTTAGGACAACTCAGCAACTTTTGCTAACTAGTTATGTAATCAGGCATAAGCCTTCTAAACTGACCTTCCTTGGACTAATTATCTCAGGTCACTTCTAGCTTATGTTTCCAAGTATGCATACAATGTATTTTCCTTTCCTGATCATCTTCTGAAAAATTTCCACATTCAGAGATGTTAGTATCTGTTGTCTTCCAATTTTCAATGGGAACAGAAGCCAGAAACTAAAAGCTAAAGACAAGTACTTTGGTATGAATGCTTGACAAGACTCTATAAAGAGTTAACAGACACAACTTTTGACAACTTCTAAGAATAATGAGTTTCATTTTAGGCTCATTAAGAACAAGACATTCTAGACCATTTATTCACCCTATTTAAACACTAAAATTGTCCTTTGTTGGGTATTATCATCTCATCTACCAGATCTTGAGATACTCACAGACAAGATTTGTTCCTCATAATTACATATGTATATAGATAGATATTGTACTATATTCAAGAATATCTAATGCCCATCAAATAACTAATTAATAGTAAATAAAGTGAGTTTAGTTTCTTTCCTGACAGGATTATTAGGGTGGTAGTATATAACAAATGTGAACACAACTAGTATGCCCATAAGTAATTTGACAAAGACTTCATGAAAAAACTTTCATAGTACAGTCTCACGACCTGAATAAAGATAGGAGACAATATCAAGATTAGGCATAGACTTTGGAACAATTACTGAAAGATGACTGTTTTATGGCTACTTATGACAAAAAGATTTCACCTTGATCTAGTAAACATTTAAAAATCTGCTTACATACAAAAATGGCAGCAACATAGCTAAGTAATAACATGAACAGCAAAATACACAGTAATTTCATACAGACTATGCTGTGAACACTGGAACAACAAATTATTTAAAATGAAAGAAGTGGTAGTAGTGCTGTGCAGATCTTCTCTTACCCATTCTGCCACACACAATCTAAGAAGCATGCAGCTAAATATATGTATTCGTGTATGTATAAACATAGATATGTGTGTGCATAGATAAACACATATATACATGGGAGGGGAGAATGAGAGAGAAGGGATGTGAGACACTGCTGCATACTTGGTGTGATCAAGCAAATGAAGGACTCTGAAATATATCTAGTGATAGAACTGATGAGATTTCATTTAGAAAATAATTTACACCTGCAAATGACTTAAATATTAAAACACAGAAATATGCTGGTTAGTTTTTGTCAACCTGACACAATTAGAGTCACCTGAAAAGAGAGAATCTCAACTGAGAGGCTGTCTTTATCATACCGGCCCGTGGCCATGTCTGTAAGGGATTTTCTCATTATAGAAGGGCCGAGCCCACTGTGGGTGGTGCCATTCCTGGGCATGTGGGCTTGAGCTATATGTGAAAGGTAGTGAGGCAAGCCAGTAAGCAGCGGTCCTCCATGGCCTTGGCTTTAGTTCCTGCCTTCAGGTTCCTACTTTGGTTCCTGTCTTGGCTTCCCTCCATGGTGGCCTTTTCCCTGTAAACTAAAACAAAACTTTTTTCTTCCCAAGTTGGTTTTGGTCAGTGTTTTATCATAGGAATAGAAACAAACTAAGACAAAAAAAAATCCGATTTTTATCTTGGTACTCTCATACATAAAAATTTAAGTCACCAAACTTTGGCTGACTTTTTAGTAACACCTAGATATGGTAGATAGCAAATTTCAGGTAACTGGAGGTGTTCAGTGCCAAAGAAGAATCAAATATAGTTGAGTGTTTACATGAGACAGAAGACTTTCCCAGATCTCTTCCAAGCCTCTTAAAGATTGCTAAGTACTAGATGATATAATTATGGGGCCACTGTCATATACACAGTTCACCACTGAAATACCATTATGAACTTCAAGATTATAAGAAAGATATTCTAAAGGATTCTAGTCAGTACTCTTTCAGTTTTGTTCATGAACACTGCCCTGGGCATTTTTAACAAAGGCATACTGCCAAACAAGGCATTACACACGAAAAGGTCTCATAATGTGTCCAAATATTTAGTAGCTACTCACCTGTCTTGTTACTGTGATTTCATCATGTGCTTCAAATCCTAAAGGACTTTGTTTCTTGTCAGAATTATCAAAAGTGATTGAAACTGAGGCTTTGGTAATTCCAGCCTGCCCATTTTTGTAAACTAAATCTTGTAAATTAGAAGCCCGCACCTAGAATTAAAGAAGTACATTTACAAAAGTTCATATTGTACAAGAGAATCATTAAAGATGTCTTGTTTGGAAAACCTATCCACATAGTACACATTAAGGCAACAAGCACAGGCAGTCGCATCCATTGGCAAGGACAGCAAGGACAATGGGAAACAGCCTATAATGGGTGCTTTTCTTTAAACTGATTTTGCAAAAATTAATTTGCAAAACTTAAGAAAACAGGGTCTATGATCTTTACTAGTTATCCAATCCATTAGAATACTCTAAAAGGGCAATATAAAGGGGGGAAGAGGAAGGACAGACTGGAATGAGACTGAACTGAAGTAACAGTGCTGGGTGGCTGTTACTCCCATCTAAGATGAACCGTAGGCAATACCTGTAAGCTTCTATCTTCTCATCTAACAGAGAGAACAATAGTACTTTGCTTAAGTGGTTGCACTGAGATAGAACATTCACATGAAGTATAAACCTGAAAATGGAGAAACGATTTGCCACAGTCTGCAGAATTTCTAAAGATTCCCTAGCCAAACTTCATTTCACATAAACCAGAAAGTTCACATTTTACCTGAGACAGGTTGGAGATGCCCAGCAGAAAGCAGATGGAGTCCAGGATGTTAGATTTGCCACTACCATTTAAACCAGTGATAGCATTGAAGAGGGGGTCAAAACCATTGACTTCAGTCCTCTGTGCGTAGGACTTGAATCCCTCGAGAATGATTGATTTAATATGCATTTTAAAATACTGTCTTGGGCTGGTAAGCCTCGTTTAGATAACGCCACAAGCCAGGTCTGTACAGAACAGAAATAACACCATGTAAGTGGAATGTAAAACCTGGAATCATAGTGAAGCTGACAAAATAAGCAGGAGTGACAGCACAACAAAAATAAAACATAAACTTACCAAACTACCTTCTAACCTAAAAATATCCAAGGTTAGCCATTACTTGAAAGCTAAACCATTCAAACCTGAAAGTTGTATTGTGTTCCACCTTAATCATAGTCTAGCTTATTTGACATCTCACTCCTTCAGTCCACAAATACGATTTTCTCTGATACACTGGAATGGAAATCTCCTGTCTCTGCAGGGACGTCACCTTACTGAGGTCCTTCTTGACCTCCCTATGTAAAACAGCACGACCACTCATTCCCCTCCTCCGTCTTTGTCCTCCGTGACATTTACAAAGGCTGACACTAAACGGCATTTTTCGGTCTACCCAAGTCACCCTAAATTCCACGATCTTGGCCCACGTCCATCGTTGTACCCCAGAATGAGCTGCACATTTAGTTTGCTAGGAAATCACTAAACACTTTTCGAAAAGATCGCACCACTTTACATTCTCATCAACAACTCACGACTAGTAAACAGCAGCAGCCTGGAAGCCAGACTCCCAGACCAGCGGCGTCGGCAGAAGCCGAGGCCCTGAGCTGAGCCTCTTTCCACACAGCCTTGCTTTACCGTGCTCCTTCGCTTCCCTCATCTTTCCTTCCCCACCCCTTGGCCCCAACTGTAGCGCCGCAGAGCAATCAGTCACGATCCCTAATCACATCCGGAGGCGCCTCCTGGATCGCCGCCCTCCTCCCCAGCTCATCTCCCGCCCGATAGCAGGCCGGGGCCTACGGGCCCGCTACGCACCTGCTCCGCGCTACCTGGCCTCCCGCAGAGCTCCTCCGGGTCGCAAGGCGGCCGGTGAGGCCCCTGACCTGGGCGTGGGCGCTATCAGGCGAACCCCACCAATCCCACCACCAGCGTCCCGACGTCTACCATCCTCACACCGGTACTAGGACCATCAAACACCCGCGCCGGAACTATTTATTCCTTTGAATTTCGGCGCGAGCTGAGGACCCCGCTGCAGCCGCTGAGGTCCTCTATGGGTGCCAATGATATGCCTGACTAGGGGGTTTCATCTTTTGCCTCAACTAGAACGATCAAAACTACTAGGCGATAGGAGATAAGAGTCTTGACTTTGAGGGATCCAGCACGACAATGTCGTGGGCATGATGAGCGACAACGAAGGTGGTTTCTGCTGACCTTGGCGTCAGGCGTACACTCGACAGCCCGCACCTCGGGCGGGGCCTGAAGCGCCGCCGGCCTCGCCTACCGTGTATCACCCGCGGGCCTATGCTGGTGCCCCTCCTTCAGGGCCTGGCGGGGTGCGGTCTGGAAATTGTGGTAGCGCGATGGGAAGGACAGTTCTGTGGACACCGGAGACAGGCGCACTTGAAGTTAGTCCCAGCCCAGAGGAAAACCTGTGCAGGGAAGTAGTAGGTGCGGAAAAGTTGTATGCTGCACTGTGGTCGACCTAACACTTTAGGAAATGTTTCACGCCCCTGGTATTTGCGGAATTCTGGCTTTCCTGAGGCTGTGTTCCAAGAGCTTTCCAAAAACCCTCAGTAGCTGTCCTATGGAATCTGGCGTTTCGTGTTTTTTTTTTTTTTTTTTTTAGATAATTGATTCAATGAAAGGTTAAACGATGTTTAGTGAGTGAAGATTTCCCAGGCAGCCTAGCTGCAGTGTGTTTTAAAATATCTGCATCTGCTTGTTTTACTAGTAATACTTGATCCTGTTATAGGTGTGTATCTTCAAAACGACAACAAAAGGTGTTAGCTTTACATCTGAGCACACTGCATTGCTACTGAGTTGGGAAGGGCAGTGAGTCTTCCGCTGTTTGGTTTTGTATAGACTTGAGACCTGTGCACTATTTTAGTGTGTCATGGTCCTTTGGAGTTACTGCGATACTGTAAATAGTGTTTGAACAGTAGGAATTTATTTCTCATAGTTTGGGGACTCTTGAAAGGTTCAAGAATAAAGTACTAGCAGAATCAGTGTGTTAGCGAAGGCTTCTTTCTGGTTGGTAGCTGTCCCCTCACTGGTGTTGATGTGCTTCCATGCCTAGTTTATAAAGGCTAACTAATCAACTCCCCTAAAAGTTTACACCTGCTAATACCATTGCTTTGGGATATAGGATTTCCAGATGTGATCATTGCAGAGAGGAGTGGCGAGTTCCTTTAATCCCAGCACTTGGGAGCAGAGGCAGATGGATCTTGAGTTGGAGGCCAGTCTGTCTTAGTTCAGGGCCAGCCAGGGATACATGGTGAGATCATGTCTCCAAGGGGAAAAATATGAGAAAATGTGAACACTGAGGGGACAAGTCTAGACCATTTTAATGTTGCCTATTTGGACCTAGGATGGCTTTGCAGTAGTTTGAACCAGTTTCAAGTGACTAAGAATGGGCTTTTGTTTTGAAAGTGTTTTCCAATTTTAGGTAAATATTACAGTTTTTAAAAAAATATTTACAGTTTTTTAAGAAGCAGTGCCCTATCTATACTGGTATGCTGCCTACTTTCCTTGTGATATTAGCCAGTTTGTCCTGTGAATTTAGCTAACACCAGATTGGTATTTACTTTCAGCTCTACTGTCTTTCTATGGTAACTTAATTTTGAATAAAGAATTTTAATTTTCCAACAATTCTAATATGGATTTTTCCAAATTTTATAACCTGTTTTGGGGACAAAAATGTTAGGTATTAAGACAGATATTATCAGCCTTTTTGGCTAGTTCAATAGATTAATAGCTAGGGGATATCCTTAAGTCAAATGGATAAAACTTATAGTTAGGTATACTTTTATTAGGATGTATTCATCATATAAAATGATGGAAAATAATGTTTTCATACATGTATATACGTTGCCCATTCCATTATCCTTCTGTCTTTCCTCACCCATCATGTTAGTAACCTTCCTTGTTCCAAGTAGTTCCCATCCTACTTTCATATTAAAAAAAAAAAAAAAATCCAGATTCCAGGGCTGGAGAGATGGCTCCGCAGTTAAGAGCACTGTTTGCTCTTACAGAGGACCCAGGTTTGGTTCCCAGCACCCACATGGCAGCTAACAGTGGTCCATAACTCCAGATCCAGGGCATCCAACAACTTCTTCTGACCTCTGCAAGCATTGCACATCATGAGTGCAATAAACTCGTGCACATAAAATAAAAATAGCAAAAAAGTATTTTCTTAAATGGAGATTCCACATACAAGAGAAAACACAACGCTTATCCTTCTGAGTCTGTCTTATTTCATGTAACTTGATGATCTCTAGTTCCATCTATTTTCCTGCAAATGTTGAAATTCATTCTTAAGATAATAAAGCCGTGTGTGTGTGTGTACTAAATATCCAGTCATCTGCTGATGGACACTTAATGCTGATTCCATGATCTGTCATCTACCATATGATCTAGCTATATCACTTCTGTCTGTATGCATACCTGAGGGAATCTTAAGTCAGCATACAATAGAGGAACTTGCACAACCATGCTTATTGTAGCACTATCAGTACACTTTTGCCAAATAAGGACATTGAAATGTTTAATCCCATTACAAATTATTTATTAAAATTGCTAACGAAGGTAGAAATCAGTCTTATTCTTGGTACATTCCAGAAATAAGAATTTCTGCTGTGTATAATGCAGGTGGACTTGAGGGAAAAAAAAATCACTAAGAGATGTATGGCTTCTGGCTCTGCCTTCTGAAGTCACAAGTAGAAAATGAAAAGACACAGAGCCACTGACCCTCCACTATTTGGAGAGGAGCAGGATGGAGACAGAGCTGCAGAACAGATTCAGCCAAATTGGAACTCATGTATTTGGTTCTGCCAATATTCTTTAGTTCTTAAGGACTGGAACATTTTAAAGTTATAATTCTTTAATTATGCAGATACTACCATTCAGTTGTGTTGCGGGTGGAGTTTTCTTTTCTTACAGATACTTTTTAGGATTTTTTCCCTATCCAAAGACCCAGGAAATGAACAAACTTCATCTGTTTCCCAGGATAGTAGGTAATGTTTCTCCAGTACCAATGGTTGGCAGTTCTTTAAGGACCCAGTTTTTACCTAATGGCCTGGTTGCAGCTCCTCTGTCTCATCAGAGCACTAAATCTAGTATTTAGACACTAAGACCTAGCTACTGAGGGCTGGAGGTACAGTTTGGTGATAGAGAATATAATTAACATGAGTGAGGCTTGGAGCTCAAGCCCCAGCACTAAACAACAGAAAGTTCCTGAGGCATGTAGCCAAGAGTGAAATGGAAGGCTTCCAGGGTGTCAGTTCTTGCTTTCTGTTCTTTATGATTTTGTGTCTGATGCTGAGAAGTCCTTCTTTTGTGGTTGTTTTAACAATGATTACATTTTATCAAGTATTTCTATGAGTTTTTAAGAGGAAGCTCAGTGGACCATGTTGGGCTGTCTGATTTGCCTTCATGAAAACATCAGTGATCTGTTTTGCTTTTGCTGACTCTAACAAAGTTTCAGGTTCTATATTCAAAGTAGCTATTCCTAAAAACCAGTAATTACTAAAGAAGTCTAGTACCCTGTCCTAAGGAAATATTTTCAAACATCCAAAATCAAGTCTGAGCTTACCTATTTTATACTTATCATTCCATATTTCCACTTACTGTTGGCTTACAGCCGGATCTGCCCAGGTCATCCCTCCGCAGCACTGTGTCACACCCTTTCCTGCTATTGAGATGTTGCCTCTTCCGCAGGTCTTGTTTTCATTTAGTAGTTCTCTCTATCATGGTAGTTCCTTACTATTTTTTAATTATTATTTCAAATACACATCTACCTTCCCCTCTCCCAGTTGACTTCTTGCTGTTTCCTAACTCAGTTCTTACCAAATCCAAACAGACTCCTCATTTTTTTCCACAAGCTTTGCTTCTGCAGTTGTATCACTTCCCCCAGTTATACCATTCTGCAGCCCTTCATAGTCACAAGTAACCTGTCTTCAAATTCTAACCTCAATTCTTACTTCAGCAAGACTTGGTAGCTGCCAGTCTCTGCCCGTTCTATAGCTCTACAAACATGTTTCTAGATTAGATATGATGGCTCTCTTCTGTAGTGCCCTTGATGAAAGTTTTAGTGAACTTTAACCTAAGATGAAATGCATGGCCTTGTATTATCTGTTCTCAAACTTTTTTTCCAGTTGTCTGCTGCTTTTTTTTCTTTATATTATCATCTCTTTTGTTTATTACTGTAACCAAGGTAACAAAACAGAAAGTGCTTCAGTAATTTGGTTACTGAATAGATGAAACTAGACATTTATAGAACATCTCCATTATGCCAAGAATTATGTGAGGCACCAGACTGAAGATGACTGTGCGAACTGCATTTCTCATTGCTGTGACAATACATGACAGAACTAATATAAGGGAAGAAGAGTTTGTTTTGGCTCACAGTTTATCAGAGTGCTGTGGGTCATGGCAAAGACGATTTGGCAGTAGGAGCAGCTCATGGCTGAAGCAGTGGTAGTGTGAGGTGGCAGGTTACTCTGGCTTTCAGAAAGCATGGAGAGACTCAACTCAGACTGAGGCCAGGATATAACCTGAAAGCCCAAGACCTATGTCGCCAGCTCAGCCCTATGTAAAATGGTACCACAACCTCCCTAAGCAGTGGCACCGTTGCCCCAGTGACATGAACTGGGGAACAGCTATCCAAACACATGAGGCTGGAGTGGGGCACATTTTACATTCAAACATAACATTCTACCACTGATCACATAGCTCATGGCCATTTCATAATATGAAATCAATTCAGCCCCACTTCAAGAGTACTCATATTCCTTAGCAGCTCCAACATGTTCAGAACGCAAGGTAGTCTCTTGACAGCTGCTATAAAGCCCAAGCAACTTACTTCCAATATATAGTGGCACAGGTAGTAAAGATTTCCATTCACAAAGCGGGGAGCAGAAAAACGGCAAGGAAAGGGCAGACTAAAGCAAGATCAAAAAGCATCAGGGCAAACAAACCTTGGAGCTTCACATCTATCACCCAAGTCTTGTGGCATCATCTGAATTCCAGAAGACATGGGTGGCCCTGTCCCTACAGACCTGCTGCCTGTAACAACTGTGGATGCATCTCTTGGACTGGCTTCACTTGGTGCCCACAACTTTCCTCAGCTGACGCTCCGCCCCGTTTCTTGGGATCTCCACTGCAATATAAACTTCACAGCTTCCTGCACGCCTTTAATCCCAGCACTCAGCACTCGGGAGGCAGAGGCAGGCGGATCCCTGTGAGTTCAAGGCCAGCCTGGTCTACATAGTGAGTTCCAGGACAGCTGGGGCTACAGGGAGACCTTTCTCAAAAAGGTCGGAAAAAAAAAAAGGAAAAAAAAAAAAAAAGACCAATCATGTTGGGATGCAGATTCTGCTGCACAGTGTCTGATTTCAGTGGCGTTGGCTTTCTAGAACTTCCTTTAGATTGCCATCACTTTTGTGCACTGT